CTTGCTCTACAATCTTCATCTTTTCTCTTCCAGTAACTTCCAACACTAATTAGTGGTCATATATATATATATATATATATATATATATATATATATATATATATATATATATATATATATATATATATATATATATATATATATATATATATATATATATATATATATATATATATATCATATATATATATATATATATATATATATATATATATATATATATATATATATATATATATATATACATATATATATATATATATACATATATATATATATATATATATATATATACATATATATATATATATATATATACATATATATATATATATATACATATATATATATATATATATATATATATATACATATATATATATATATATATATATATATATATATATATATATATATACATATATATATATATAATATATATATATATATATATATATATATACACACAAACACAGACACACATATATTTATATATATATATATATATATATATATATATATATATATATATATATATATATATATATATATATATATATACTTACAAACACATGCATATATACACGTATAAATATATACAAATACACATAGAGACATACACATCCATGCATACATATACACATACATACATATACACTCACCACTTATTCACATGTGTGTATCACAAACACTTAAACACAAATACATATCTTTGGATTTATCAACTGTATTTAATTAGGAAAGAATGGAATAGGTTACTCTTAAAAATATAGATTGAATGGAGAGCTTTTAGGTCATAGGGAAGGTTATTCCAAGATTTTATACTTTGGTTTTTTACGGACTTATATCCATAAGTAACAGAACGATGTTTTAAGACTGCAAGGTTCAGATTATCAATTGATAGAAGATAGTAGCGGTTATTTGCTTTTTTTTGGGAAGAAGTTGTTGAAGGTAAGAGGTAGGTTTTTGTGTTGGTGATTCCAGACAAACTGGCAATTCAAGAATTGAACAAGGTCACATAGTTAAAGGTCACATAGTTTAACATTAGGATTGAATTTGTAACTCTGAAAATGTATTATTTTTAAAGCTTTGTTTTGAAGATGTGATATCCTTAAAACTGCTTGCTGTTGAGATTGTTCCCATATTTGACAAGCATATCATATATGTGAGCCAAAAATGGCATGATATATACTTAATAGTATTTCCAGATTGACATAATGGTGACATGTTAATAGTGTTTCCAGATTGACACTAATAATAATATTAAAAAATTTTACAATGACATTTTTGAAATTGAAGCAACACCTTTAATAAATAAGCCTACCAGATTATTATCAACATCGGCCTCTATATTAGATAATATATTTACATTTGATGTTTTTAATTTATCTTTAAATAAAGATATTATTAAAAGTGACGACTCTGATCACTTTCCTGTTTTTTTCTTCTTAAACACAGACATCAAAAAATTCAACATTTAAATAAACCTTTCATTAAACATTTTTATATAGAATCTTTATTTATACATTTTTATACTTGCTTTCAAGGAACAATTAATTTTTGATTGGAAACACATATATTGCTAATGATTGTTAATGGTTCTAATAATGCTAATATAGCATTCTTTTTTCATAATTCTTTTTCAAAAAACATTTTTTGAAATTTATGATATTAATTTTCCTAAACATAAAATACTAAAAAAAAATAAAGATTTCATGTCACCATTGAAAAGATCTTAGAAAAAGTTCTAAAGTTAAGCAAAAATTGTAAAGTATTAAAAAACGAGAACAATAAGACAATTTATAAGAATTACGCTAAAAAATTTGAAATGCAAAAGGAAAAATTTTAAAAAAAGATTCTACATAAATATACTAGAAAAGTATAAAGAGAATTTGAAGCAAACATGGCAAGTGTTAAGTGAAATTAAAACCAGTAAGAAATTGAATGCTAGCTCCTTACTTAAAGCTGTTAAAATTGAAGATAAAATAATTTAAGATCCAAGAGTGGTAGCTATCAAAAAGAATGAATTCTTCACTTCAGTTGGACCAATTTTAGGACATTGTAATTGATTCATATAATATCATAAAAAATATCCTTTTTAAAATATTTAAATGTTCAATTCAACAAGGAATTTTTCTTGATGACTTACAAATAGCTAAAGTTTCACTAATATTTAAAGGGAAAGGTTTACTTTATGTTAATAATTACCGTTCAATATCTGTTCTCTCTGTTTTCTAAAAAATTATAGAGAGAATTCTTTATAATAAATATTTTAATCATCTTTCTCAAAATAATGTCCTTTACAAAAATCCATATGGGTTTAAAAAAAAAACTCCACTGAATACGCTATACTCGAAATAACACAATATTACTAGATCGTTTGAAAATTCTAAATTTACTTTGAACATTTTTATTGAGTTGTCTAAAGCCTTCGATACGGATTAATTATAAAATTATATACAAAAAACTTAAATATAATTGCATTTCTGAAAATGTTTTGAAGCTTTTAAAAAGTTATTTAAGCAATAGAAAGCAATTTGTTCACTATGACGTATCATCAAAATTGTTAGATGTAACATGCAGAGTTCCTCAAGGGTCTGTCCTAGGAACTCTACTATTTCTCATTTACATAAACGATCTTTATGAAGCATCGAATTTAATGACAATTATGTTTGCTGACGACACGAATTTTTTTTTTATCTCATAGTAACATAACGACACAATTTCAAAGTATAAAAATAGAATTAATTAAAATTTCTGAATGGTTTAAATTAAATAAGCTTTCTCTTAATATTTAAAAAACAAAATGGTCTCTTTTTCACCTATACTATAAAAAACATTTTCTACCAGGTGAATTGCCTGCTCTTTTTATAGATGACATGCAAATTAAAAGAGTAACGGCTACATATTTTTGAGGGGTTTTTATTGATATATTCTTTAAAATTTCCAAAAGTATAGGAATGCTATTCAAAATAAGAAGCATGCTAAATAAACACACTAAGTTATACCTCTCTTTTATTCATTGACATCTAAACTATGCTAATGCGGCTTGGGGTAGTGTTAGCAAAACTAAATTAGAACAATTTTATCGCAAACAAAAACATGTTTCACAACTTATTAATTTTAAGCATCGTTTTTATAATGCAAAACCTCTTTTAAATGAAATGAATATTTTTAATATATATCAACCTAATATTTTTAGTTTATTGCTTTTATGTTAAAATGTAAAACTCGCAAATCTCCAATTTCTTTTCACAATTTATATTCTATAAAAGTTAAAAATAGTTAGGATTTGCGTATAGAAAATTTTATTCTTCAACCAGTTTTCAAAACTGATTTTCGTGAATTTTGTATTTCATTTAGCATTTTTATGTAACAAACAATTAATTTTAAAACTTTTAGATTTTTCTCAAGAATGGAACTTTTTCTTATTTAAAAGAAAATTGAAAAAAATTCTTTTCTCAATTCATTCTTATATATTTTTAAGTTTGTTTTGTTTTTTATTAACACTCTTAAGAAATCTTTTATCGTAATTTATATATACGAAATCTTTCATCTTAACTTATATGTATTTATGTATGTGTAAGTATCTGTATCTATATGTTTGTATGTTTCCATGTGTATATATAATTAAATATCTATTTATGAGTGAATATTTATATATGTATTATTAAACAATTATTTTTCATTTAAAATCTCGAGGTTCTCGATGACAAGATCTTATGATCTGCGAGTATCCGCATCTTTATTGTAACGTTAGCAAAATTAGTAACTCTTACTATATGTATTTTATTTATTCTTATATTGTAAAACTTTATTTAAATAAAAAACAAAAAAACATTGTAGTGGTAAAGGTGATGGTTCGTGTATTTCCACAAAAACGAAATTTCGTGTTTAGGATCATTATTTCAAATCAACGGCATTTTGGACCGTTTTGCATATTGAGATATTTTGGAAAAACAAACGATTCCTTTTGCTGACGATATTATGTTTTTATGTTGGCAATTCCAGAAGGGCAATGAACCTAAATATGCATCTAAACGTTTAAAATCTTGTTTACTGACCAAATCAGTTTAATGAAATGGCCAGCTAACTCATTCGACTTCACCTCCATTGAAAACCTTTGGAAGCAGTTAGGCGACGTCATCCGACTGAAAAAGACAGTTAGTAATGCTGATCAGTTGTAAATCGAGCTTGAACAGGCATGGCAGATAATAAATAAATAAAAAATCTATAAATCGATTGAATTAATCTTATTTTGTTGTGTAAAATTTTTTAAAAACAAATGATGCAATTGATTATTGATGTTAAAATAATTTTAAAGGTGAGTTTCCACTCATCCGTTTTTCAACGGGAAAGGGAAAAATAATCACATTAGCATGCGCAGTTTTCTTTCGGACAAATAAAAACCTTTATTACGCATGCTCACGTGATTATTTTTTCCGTTCCCGTAGAAAAACGGATGAGCCTTTAAGTAACAAATTTTATAGACAAGCGGTATTAGCAATGTTTTATGTTAAATTTTTTAATTATTAGTTTTAGAAGTAAACAATTTTACTTTTTTGGATTGCTTTTTATTTTTCTTTACATAAATATATTTTTTATTTTCTAATTATTGCCTACTATTTTTAGTTATATAATTGATATACCTTGTTTCCGTATTTTAGTGTGTTTTACACATGGCTTTTAAAAGTTGCTTTAGTTTTGGAGTACACTGAATGTACATTAGAATGTAAACTTTTTAACTCCGATATTTGAATGTTTTATACTTTTGCTCATGTTAATTTGACCATATCTATAGACTGCAAAGCTGAATTTTTTGTTGTTGTTGTTTTACTTTGTAGTTATTAAGGTGCTCCCAGAAGTCCTTATAAAAGAGAACGGCGAAGGAGCATTTAACGAGGAAGTTCACGCCTCCTTTCTTACCAATGTTGCTTATGGGCTAGAGCCGGCGTGGGAAAAAATCGGTTTTTCTGAAAAAAAAAAACTTTTTCTATAAAATTCATAAATATAGTTAAAATGTCATCATAAAATCATCCGGTACTCAATATACATGTATATTTCAATATATTTAAAATTAATATAGATTATTAAATATATACTATTATATTTTAATTTGTTTGTGTACGTGTGTGTATTTGTGTATATATAAGGTTTTAATATATTTGATATATTGCTATGTTTTTATAAATTTTTTACATGATAGCAAAACTTGCTATTAACTTGTTTTACAATATGTCGAATTTTTGCAAGAGAACAGTACTTTCATTTATTATTTGATTAAACATATATTGATTAAACTGCTGCCAACTGTTTTCTTAAAAGTTTAAGTAAATCTTTTCCTTCAGCATGATCAGGAAAGATCTCTAAAGATCGTTTTAAAGCCTGAAAACTAGTTTGAGTATCGCCAATCTGAAAAAATTAAAATTTATTATAAATAAATTTAATAAAAGTAATAAAAAGTGAACTTGCTTTTGACATCAGAGTCGTGGAGAAATAGTTTTCTTTTTATGAAAAAAAAATAAAATCAATGAATTACTTAAGTATTGTTTGGCAATACTTAAGTAATTCATTGATTTTATGTAGTTGTTCAAAAAATTGCTAAACGTTAAAAACTTAAGAAAAAATCAAAATCTTTAGAGGTAAAATAATTAAAGAAATTTAATTTTAACAAAACATATTGTACATACATACATAAATTATAAATATATTGAGTCGTAACCTGAAACAAAAAACTGGAAAAAAAAAATAAAGTAACTATTTATGTATGATGACATATTAAAAAAACAAAGAAAGATTTTATAAATATATCACTCCTCCAACCTTGTCATCTTTATCTCATCTCTACGTCATTACTCATATATAAAAACTAGTAAGGTGTAAAAAACTAAATAAAAACACATTAACATTTATTTTTTTCTGAAGGTGTCAAAACATGTCAAACTTCTAGTTGTAACCATAAAAAAAAAAATAGTTATAACATTACCTGTTCTGAAAGAAATGATAGATTATAGTGTGGTTCGTACATATGTTCACCAAAAGATATAGATGACTGAAAATGAGATCGAGCCTAAAAGTATAATTTACTCGATTTAATAAATTATGTCTTTATAGTAAAATATTTTTGCTATGGTAAAATATTGTTCTTTAGCAAAACATGGTTGGTATCATTAAACATTGTTTCTATAATAACAAATCAAAATTTATAGCTACTTTTATATAGTACAAATAATGTTTATAAAAATTCTTATTTAAAAAGAAATTAAATTTTTTTTTTAAATTCAGATTCACTCACAACAAGGCTGCAAGAAACCACTATTAAGTTGGAAGTTGTTAGAAAAAAAAAAGGAATAGAGTTATCGAGTAAGGAAACAGTTGACAGAAGACTTGAAAAGTTGCAGACTGAATGAGTCAGGAAAACATAAAGATGGGAGAGAGTTCCAAAGGGTTGAAGTGCAGGAAAAAAAACTCAACCCTCAGAATTAGGAAAAATGAGGTCGGCAATAAAATGCCGACCGCATACTGTTAGAGATCAGCATCAGGACAGAAAAAATTTTTACACATAGAGCTTACCATAAAACATAGAAACAAGGTCGGCGAGATTTTACCGACCTCGTTTTGGCAAATTCGGCAATGGTAACCTGTTAGGTCGCTATTGCCGAATTTCGTCGCCATTGCCGAATGCCGACCCTAATTCGGAAGACTGAAAACTAGACGAATAAAAGTTTTTTGAGCATGCAGGGATAGATACAGTAAACGAATGAGACTTTGATGAATGACGAGTAAAGTGAGAATGAGTTTTAGTAAATGAAACTAAGACGATAGCTCATTTAAGCAGTGAACATGATATTATTTGTAGAAAAGAGAAAGAGGCTCAACCTTAGCAAATAGAGCAGGTATAACTATGTCAACAATTTTTAACGTAGTTTAGTACTTGTCTAGAAGAGAGAGAACATCATTAGAAAAACCAGCCCAAATGCTATAACAGTATTCCATACAGGGACGATTAAGAGATTTATCAAGGTAGAGAACAATATTAGGACTAAGACAATAGCAAGCACAATAAAAAAAGCAACCTTAGCAAATGCTAATTTAGCAATCGATTGTATAAAAGGTTTCCATGAAATATCAGTAGTAAACATTAATCCAAGAAGACAACAAAAAGAGGACTCAGTGGGAGTGTTGCAATTCTTTAATATAAAAATGGCGACAGTATTGAAATAGTTGTTTGTAGTAAATAACTTTCGTTGTAGTTAGAATTCACAAGCCACTGCAAGCCCCAATCTGTTACAGAAGTGAGATCGAATTCAAGATTGGCTGCCTGTTCTTAGCGATGGAAATGAGAAGACTTTTTGTCAAGACAGGAGTATAAAGTTCAATCACCAGCAAAATGAGCTACTTTAGATTTAAGATTGTCGGGAAGATCATTAATGTAGATAAGAAACAAAATAGGACCAAGGATAGAACCTTAAGGTACCTTAGAAGTTACTGGAATTAAAAAAGAGTGCTGGGACTTTAATAAAGCAGTTATAGAGAAACAATTTAATAATCTCAAAACCTTTTCCAGATACACCATATGAAGCAAGCTTAAGAAGAAGACCAGCATGTCAAACTTTGTCAAAAGCTTTAGATATATTAAGAGCAATTAGTCCTATAGTACTGTAGAATTTGGCCAAAAAATAGTGAAACATAGAAAAAAATTTTCTAGAGACATATATATATATATAATTAGAAAGATAATTTTATCAGCTTCCTAATGGTGTATCTTGTAACTTTTTTGGAGTTGAGCAAAAAAAATGGCAAATCAAAATGTGAATGTAGGTTTTTTCATTTTATTAAAAAAATTTAATAAATATGAAACAGTGTTCTTAGATATCATATCTTCATTATTAAAAAAAAAGTTCAATAGCCATGATGTTATTGAATGACTGAACAAAAGGAATTAAATATTTCTGAAAGTATTCATTTTATTAAAAAAATGAATTTTTCTTTGAAATTGTAGCTATTAGGAAAAAATATAAAAAATACTTATATTTATCAATGTATTTAAAAAGCTGCGAATTAAATATTGAATTAGATATAATAAAACAATTTGGAGTAGTTGACTGTCTTTTTATTTAAAGAAAAAATAATAATGGAAGGTGAAAATCAAACTAACATATCAAATGGAATAACGATATGTGTTAAATGTGGAGGTGTAAGAATACATGATCCTTTGAATCATGTAGGTTCAAAGTATTCTGATTATAGCAAGAAAAAACATCCCCTGACTGCTATCATAGAGTATGCTGTGAAGCTTAATTCAGATACTTTAGTTGATAAGCTCAAACTAAACAAAAGAACATAGGCAAACACTTATATCCATTTATCCTGAAGGAATTTTTTTTTTTTAAATCGCTCTCAAAAAGATCAATGAAAATCGAGACAGAGCGTATTATTAGAGCCAAAATGAAACTACTTGATTTTAAAAAACATATTATTGTGGCATAAACATATTTATTGTGGCGGTGATTGTATCTATGACAGTAAAATATTGCAATAATTTTGAAGAAGTACGTACAAAAAAATCAGCCATGCATTTCTCCATCATCGAAATATACCGCGATAGAGAAGACCAACTTGCTAAAACTATAGAAGCACATTTAATCAGTGTGAATGATCATTGGAAAAATGATAGCAGCACAAATATAAGTAGCAGCAGAAGGCAAATATCATGTATCATATAGAGCCAGATATAGATACCATATGATACATGATATCGAGAACCCTTTAACAAAATATTCAAAATCCTATTTGCAGTAACAAAATGATATAATTCAGTACTATGTGTATTCGTTTACTGTATCTGTCCCTGCATGCTCTAAAAACTTCTATTCATCTAGTTTTTTTCCCCGCACTTCAATCCTTTGGAACTCTCTCCCATCTTCATGTTTTCCTGACTCATACAACCTTCAACTTTTCAAGTCTTCTGTCAACCGTTTCCTTGCTCTATAACTCTGTTTTTTTTTTCCTAGTAACTCCTAACTTTATAGTGGTTGCTTGCAGCCTTGTTGGGAGTGAATGCAAATAAAAAAAAAAAAGAATCGTTAAAAAGAGACATAGAGTTGTACACATCAGAATTTCATTCAAAAATGATGTTAATCAATGATGACGTTTATTCAATAAAAATGACCAAAATCAGATTAAAAGAAATGTACGGTGAGTCTTTATGTTTTGTCAAAAGAGAAGGCAGAAGCAATATAATTCTATTGGACAGTGTTAGAGACACCTTATGTGAAAAATGGTACCAAGAAAAAAACATAAATGTAAACGAGGAATGAGAGTGTGTTGTTTTAACACCTGCAAAATTTTTGAAAAATGTCATAAAGAATCATGTCATAAAGAATTATCACCACAATTCCAACCCATATTTTTTCAAAGAGAACATCCTAAACATTAAAGGAAGCCATGTACCTCAATTATTAAACATTGAAGGAACCAATGTACCTCAATTATTAAAAACATTTATTAATGAGCTAGTTTAAGCACCTTTAAAACAGGTTTTAATATCACAAGCTTTATTTTTTCTGGAATACGTCTCAGGTCTATTATACCATTGCAGTTTGGACTTAGCGTTTATTGTCGATAACCGTCTTTTATCAAAATGGCTGAACATACTGCTAGGTAAGTTTCATTTCATTAAAGTGCTCATCATAGTATTTACTTGTATAATAAAGTTAGATGTGTATTATTTATTTTTATCATCATAGTATTTACTTGTATAATAATAAAGATGTGTATTATTTATTTTTATCAGAATCCCCAGAATCCGAACAATACTGATGTTTATGTAATTTTTTTAAGGTTATCTGTTACAAACAGAATGTTGTAAAGCATGATACTATCAACGAGATCATCTTCGGAGAGAGAACCTCCTTTTTTTAATTTGTTGCTGGCAACACAGATCATAATATTGCTACTGTTGATGGAAAAAATATGCACCATGGACTTAGGTCAATTGCAATTGCAAATGAAAAATTCACAAATATTTCATTCAAAAGAAATTAACTTCCAAGAGATAAAAAGGAACTATGGTCAAATATCAAGTCAAACAATGGGATGATTAAGCAGTACTACATACCTGACATACCTTCATTAACAAAAACAATATTCAAACCAGTCATTCAGGTTTATCATGCATAATACAGTTTAAAAAAATATTTACCTTTACAAAGTTTGAAAACTAATTGTTTTATTTAATTTTAGGAAAAAATTCAAGCTCGTGTTATTGATCTTCTATGGAACATTGGCTACCTTTTCAAAAATCCATGTCCAAGATGGTCTGGTTATATGAGTTCTGCAACAATTAATATTGTAAAACAGAAATCTACCATAGCCATACTACCTGTGATTGATTTACACACCACTAATTTGACAGCCCTAAATTCACTACTTTGCTTCATCATTGATCACTCCAAAAAAGTAAATCTTACAATGCCATCCATAACATTTGATCAGCAGCTTTACATAAAAGCATACGAAACAGTCTCTAGAAAAAACTTAGTACAGCAAAAAATATTATTAACAATATTCTTTTCGCGCACGCATCTACAGGTTGTGATACAACATCAGCAATTCATAATTTTGGAAAGACAATTTTCAAAAAGCTTAAAACCAAAGATTTGTGCAATGCAGCAAATATTTTTTACCACGATGATAAATTGCCTGATGAGATTGGAAATGCATCAATTTGTTTCTTTCAGCTGTTACATTCCTTAACATCAAATCTACATCAAATACTGTACAAATGTAGAAAAAGTAAACAAAGAAAATGAACCAACTGATGACTATCACTTCTTAGATGTTTTTACCTAAATTCAATTTTGATTCACTTAGTTGCATTTTTAAGAGTTTCCAAGAAAAATTTCTTTGTAAATATGTTCTAAAATTATCTCAGCACCTTTACCGAATACCATGTTTAACAGTATTGCATTATAATTTTTTTATACACACGCCTTTTTTCGAAAAAAATTTCCCCCTCCTCTCCTATATCATACTTTTAGCTTTTATTTAGCTTTCAGTTTATTAGACCAACTACTAATATTTAGGAGTAATAAATATAAAATTATATTACATTTACTTGTTTAATAGAATGATATTTTTCGGGCAAAAATGTTAGTTTTTGTGCTGTTCTGCTAATCTTTGTGACATCACAACTTTTTTTCCCCATATAAAAAAAAGTATCAATTACTCATTTTAAGGAGGAAAAAATAAGTTTTCCAAAGATATATAACATGTCTAATAATTTTTTCTAGTTGGAGACTATATTCTACAGAGACCGTATCCAACATTTTTAATTAAAGGAGGTGTCATGAGATCAGCACAGAAGTCAACATTAAAAACATTCATACTCAATAATGTATCACCAGTGAAAGAACCTGTATTAATTAGGATTGCTGATGGGGTCATATTATTGTGGTGCTGCAATTGGAAAAAAAATGCGTTATTTAGTGACATTTTTCAGAAATACATTGATTTTTCTCAACTTGACACAATCATTTTTGATGGTTATCAGTCATCCACTAAAGAAGTATCCACCAAAAGCGATCTGGTAAGATATCACAAGCAGTTAAAATCAATGATCTCAACCGATGCCCAGCAGAAAGAAGTATTTTCCTAAGTAACTACAAAAACAAAAATGATTTTGTCAGGCTTTTAGCATTGAAGTTAAAAAACAATGGTTTTAAAGTTATTTGTTGTCCCAGTGAATCAGACACAAGTATTGTTAAGCTAGCGCTTGAGATTGACAATATTAAGTCAGTCACAATTTATTTGGATGACACTGATATTTTATCCCTATTAGTATATCATATACATACTGGAGCACAACCTCAAGACATATTTTTAAAAACATTGATACAAAATAAGGCTACAGATCAAAGAGTATGTTATAAAATTCAGAATATTATAAAAACAAGTGATGACTTTTTTAAATTATCCATTATTTGCACATGTATTCACTGGGTGTGACACAACATCAGCAATCCATAACTTCGGCAAAACCACAATTTTTACGAAGTTGAAAAATTCAAATGAATTGAAATCTACTGCAGATTTATTATATAAGGAAAATATTTCTACAGATGATATTGGCAAGGGAGCTATTCATTTTTTTGAGCCACTTCATTCACCTTGTTTCAATCTACAGCAGATCAGGAAACATAAATATAATGAAATGGTGGCATCTGATCGTGCAAGTATTGATCCTGCTCTATTACCACCATCACCAAGAGCTGCATATTTTCATGGACTCAGAGTATATCACCAAATTAAAGTACGGAGAAATTTGAGTGACGTTGATTTAGATCCATTGAGTTAGGGAAATACAAAATCAAGTGCATGTACCAATTATGACAGGTATAGAAGCAGGTCCTCGAGATATTTTGAACATTATCAGATGTGGATGCAAAGGTCCATGTGGAAATAATTGTACTTGTGAAAAAGCTTGATTAAATTGTACATCATCTTCTAAAGAGTGCTATGGCGTAACATGCACTAATGGTAATATTAACATTCCAGAAGAAGACATTAAAGAGGAAGAAAGATATTTTCTTGATGTTTTTGAGATATAAAAGATTATTTTAATATTTAAAATATATTTATATATAATTTAAAAAATACATATGATGTCAGATTATTTTGTATTTTCTTATTGGGTTATTCACTGTAAATGGGGGGAGGGGGGGAAGAGCATCCTGCAAAACATTCTTTTCCAAATTTTAAAAATTGATATAAAATTATCTTTCCAATGGTATATAATATGTCTTTATAAAAAAATTTTCCATGTTAAACATAAATTCTACAGTACTACTAGCCTCTCTATCTCCATCTAATGCATGATAAAATCTTTCAATCATAGTAGTTAGCCATAGAGCAAGAGGATCGAAAACCGTACTGACAGTAGGTTATTTGACTTACTGCCTGACAGTAAGTTATTTGACTTAAGATGAGAAGTGAGGAACTTGTTGATCAAAGACTAATCTATAATTGAAGGGGTCAGAGTGTTTTCTGGAGTTTTTGAAAATTGGAACAACAGATGCCATTTTTCAGCAGACAGGAAATTTTTGCAAGTCATTAAAAGCAAGCAAGTCTGGTGAATTTTGCATTAAGTAAGATTATAAAAAAAAAATAAACTATGATTTTTGCAAGTCATTAAAAGCAAGCAAGTCTGGTAAATTTTGCGATAAGTAAGATTATAAAAAAAAAATAAACTAATATTTTAATAATAAAACAATTTGAAATAAATTCAAAAAAAAAATAGTATATGGTAAATTTTTAATATTAATAAAAATAAAATGTATATTTATTTGTAAATATTTAGTATATAGTAAACTTTTTTTTTTTTTAATTTAGGCGCTGAGAAGTTCCTACAGTCTTATCTCAGAGCAACCTTAAATAGCATTTAATTAGGAAGTTCATACCTCCTTCTTTAGCAATCACACATATATGGCCAGAGCTGGCTTTGAAATACGAATATTCAGTTCTGAAGCCAGAACTCTAACCACTACACTACAGCTACTAATAATATGTGGTAGTGGTGTAGTAGTAGATAGCTCGCCTAATAAGCAAGAAAATTCAAATTCAATCCCCACTTCATCCCAGGTAGTACCCTGCTCAACTTGTTTCTCTGCACAGTGACCTTGTTTGTTAAGGCTCATGTTTCAGAATAATAGAGTTGAGAGAGGGTTGTAACCACAACTAATGTAGCCTCCTTAACTGTAGTGGCTTTCTCAGCATTGGAGAGGTAAACTAACATATATATTAAAAAAAAATGTATACTTAATTATTTGAAAATATTTCGTATTTAGTAATTAGTAATATTAATAAAAAGAACTTGAAACTTATTTAAGACTTTACTAAAAAGAAGATTTATCTTTTAATTTTTTTTAAAAAAAGCAATTTAATAAAACAATAAAAAAAGAATTATGCATAGTATTGCTATTTTTTTTGTATAGTAATGCTAAAATTGATTAACCTCTTCAGAGTTATTCCTCCTGAGCTCCAAAACACCAAGATTGTTAAATGCTTCAGCATGATCGCTGTTGACTGATAATGATAGGCGTAAACATTGATATGCTAACCTCATGTCACCGATACCCTACATTAAAAATCTTGATTAAGATAAACTGTGTTTAAAATAAAATAAATTTAAAATTTTAAAACCTTACAATTGCTATGTGGCTGATATTATACCATACATCGGCCATATTATCATCTGAAGAAAGTGCAAGTGCTCTTTCAAAACAATTTAATGCCATATCATATTGTTGAGCATAGAAGCAACACAAACCAATATTGTTAAAGATTTCACAATTATAAACTCCCATCTGTAATAAGCGTCTACAAAAACAAAAAAAAGGTTGTATGAAATTTAAAAAAATTGTCACTTTTAAGTTCAACCAAATATTTTTATATCTAAAAACAAACAGTGTGCTTTTTACATATATATCTTATACATGCAGTGTTTTCTGGATAGCTCAGTTAGTTTTTTTCCCACTGTATTCACCTTTCACTGTATTCAACATTTCACTGTATTCAACTTTTTTTTCACCTTTCCAATTTTACATTTAATGATTTAATGGTTATCAGGTATTGAGAATTTAACTATTTGGAAATACCAATAAACTTATAAAATTATCAATGTAGCAGCAGTACAGCTTTAAATTCTGGCTAAAAACCTACTCAATGCACTAGTAGTGTTTCTATAAAAAGAGAATTCATCTCAATTAGCTCTGTTGTTATGCTGTTTCTTTCTCAACTAGTAAATAAATAATCAAGTCAAGTAAATTAAAAGTTTTTATTGTTTATTATTTCCAATAAAAATAACTTAATACTAGCCTTATTAATTATAAAATTTGAAAAGATGCCTCTCTCTGATGTAGGAAAAATATCCAATGAAAATATTATAAAATTTTCATCCATAAAAAAATAAAAAAAGATCAGAATTAAATTCCACTGCTATCTCTGCCACGACTAAAAACAGGCAAGATTAGTCAAATGAAAAAAAATAAAGAAAATGTATAAACACACACACTCACAAAATATTTATAATGTAACCTGAAAAACTTTAAAGCAATTTCAGGTTGATCAGAATAGAAGTAATTTGTTGCAATGCATGAAATTGCTTCAACATTGGTATTGTCGCTAATAAGTACATCTTTGTAAAACTTTGTAGAATTTATGACATCATTCATTCCCTACATAAAAATTATTAAACTTATATCATTTACATAATAGCATTATTATTTTCTTAAAAAATATAATATTATTATATATTTTTATATACCATTTTATATTTTATGTATTTTATTACGTTAATATATTTTTTACACCATTTCTTACACATTAACTGTACACTTAGTCAAATATATATTACTGTGTACTTAGTGAACAATGTATCACTGTGTACTTAGTGAACAATAGATCAATATATACAATTTTAATAATTTATCACTGTGTGCTCAGTAAACAATATCATTACCATATCAACAATTTATTATAGTATACTTTAGTAAACAATATATCATTGTGTATATATTGAACAATATCACTGTATACTTAGAAAAACTTTTAATAATAAAAAAAACTTTTCATGAACTTTTATACATATTATATTATTAGTTTAACATTTTCTTACCTATAATTTTATATAATTAAGAGTGCCCTGGTAGGTTGCTAATAACAATAACAAGTAATAAATAGTTAACATTACTAAAAACAAATACTTGACATTAATCATGAATTAAATTAAATGTTTGATAAAAAAATTTTATTATTTGCTATTAATAACTGACTAGAACTTTGATTGGTTACTAATAAAATATCTTGTATGATTACAACAATTATTGTGTTTGATAATTATTAAAATTACTTGAGTGTTAAATAGTGTTTAATAGTCATTATGACAGCTATCATGTTTTGATATCTAAAAGATTTTCGGAAGAAGCTTAAGCCAAATAGTTCACTCACCTAATAAAATACTCACTCACTTAAATAAAACAACAAATAAAAAGATTACCTCATATATTCTGGCTATTCCTACTAATAGAGTAGTTTCTTGTGGAAATTTTTCAAGCCCCTATGAAAAATTTAAATATATAACTCTTAAAGTTTGAAAATATTTTTGATGAAAACAAATTTCAATAAAATAAAATTATATAAAATTTATTAGATTTGGTAGGTGAAAGGTGGTTATAGGTAGTGATTTTTTGATGAGCGGTGATTTTTGGTAGTGATTATTTGGTAGTAGGTAGGAGATGGTTATGGGATGTGACTATTAGGTGATAGGTGATTTTTGGAGGTGATTATTTGGTTGTAGGTGGAAGATAGTTATTGCTGGCGATCATTTGATAGTAGATTGAAGATGCTAGTGAGATATTACAAGCGAAGCATAAATTTGAAAAATACCTTCACTAAAATTTCAATACCAGTTAATGGCTGATCAAGTTTCACATAAACTTTGCAAAGATACAGATAAGTATCAACTATTTGCTCATCACGAAGTGAAGATATGAGCTGTTTTTCAGCATCTCTGTATAAACCTAACCTAATAATACATTTAATAAAAAAGTTGCTACTAATCTTTAGGAAAATAGTAAACTTAAAATCTTAATAAATAAACAGTCTACTTTACAAAGAACTTCTAACCGATAATAGCATTTTGCAAGCTGCACCTTCCACCACCAATCTTTGTATTCAGTAGCAACAATAGCAAGAGCTGCAAGCTGAAGTGCCTGCCGAGTTATAAAAAAATAAATATTTCTAAATGCTGGAACACAACCAAAAAAATAATAATAATTAAAAAAAACTCACATTTCGAGCATCATTTTCATGCATAAAAATATATTCAAATAACTCCTAAAAAAATTAAGCAAACAAAAAATAAAACCAAACATATATAATATGGTAAACCATTGGATATATCCATATCCAATGATTAACCATTGAATATGGATATATAAATCATAAGCAATGATGTAATAGAACAGGAAGATAAGGAATGTCACAAACATCTAGAGAATTTGAGAAAACTAGAAATTCAACAAGAAATCCAGTCTTTAATGGCATATTTCTAAGCAAGGTATGGCACAAATTTAGCATTAGGTAGAGGGTCATCTAGATATAAAAAAACTTGATGAAATTCTTTTCCAAATATGATAGAGCCACTAATTAAGACTAATTAATTTTTTTGCTCTAAAAGTATTTGTCAAGACCATGGAGCCCATTAAATGAGCTGTTGATAATTTAATTCATGAAGACAGTGAGTGCTGAATAAAGATTAAAATTTATGCTCAATAAACTTCTGTTTTGAAAAGTGAAATAAGTAAGCTAAT